GCTAAACCAACATTCATCAGTTTTGTGGTACCGTCATGTAAATTACAAAGCCAGGAGGAAGCCAGGTTCATACCTGCTGTGAGTCTATGTTTAAATGGTACATTTGTCTCCTCCTGTGTTGTACAGTGCTTGTGATAGTGATGCCTCAAGCACCAGTTAGTTGAGGTGTTATTAGTGTGGAATGTCACTGAACATTCCAAGTATTGTGGAGAGCTAATAGAATGTTGTCTGTCCAGTTTCTGTGAGGGAAGGGGAAATTGTCAAAGCTTGGGCTTAAAGCGTCATACTGCTTCCCTTACCTGAGGGAAACTTTGTAAATAGGAGGTAGGAAGGTAGGTAGGTAGGTAGGTAGGTAGGTAGGTAGGTAGGTAGGTAGGAAGGAAGGAAGGAAGGAAGGAAGGAAGGAAGGAAGGAAGGAAGGAAGGAAGGAAGGCGTGGAGAGTATACAACAGATTGAAAAACCACAATTAAAGGGAAAAGCAGGGCAGATAAGACAGGGAACAGAGACAATAATCTGATGCTGAGTTGCTCTAGTCTGAACCTACTGCTTGCACTGGACTTGAACTCCAGTACAGGGTTGCACTGAAAGGTAAGCTAATAAATGAGGGGTCCGAATTTCCTTTACCCTATCCAAGGGAAAGCTAAAAACACTTCCCAGCCCAGTCCATTAATATAAGCACAGATAGTTACTTGTGCATGTTTGTGATAAGCTAAATTTGGTGTGCAGACTGGATCAAGTCCCATCCAAACTCAGCATACAGCAGAAAGAAGTAGTAATGAAGTGGTAGAACACTGAGGTTGCAGAGGGGACTGTACCACTGCAGACTGCAGGTGAGGAGCTACCTTTCCCCCCAAAAAATTTTTTCCCTCACATTAAAAGCTGCCTAAAAATGGCAACCTGAGGGCCCAACTAGACATTACTTTTTTAAGTAAATGAGTCGGGTTTGGGTTCAGCTCCAAAATGGGGCAAGTAAGGGAGCATTTCAGGTTGGGAAAACATCATGGGGGAGAGACTGAAACCCCTTCCCATGTACTATGGTCCTGATTCACATTGATCCTCTGCAGCATTTTAAAAATTTGCTCCCTGAGGCGGCTGACTGGCTGCAGAGAAAGAAAGTTGGGTTGGGGGAACCCAGTCCTGATTTGTTTTTAAAAAAAGAAGTAACATCTAGTTTGAACCTAACAAACCATATTTTAACTTATTTAGGACCTTTCTGGATTCATTGATGTTGTATTTCCGGCGAGTTTTTCTCATGGAGAAGCATTAAAAAAATGTCCCCACATGCCATTCTGCCCCCCCAGCTTTCTACAACCTTATTCTGCTGCTTGAGTATACCAGGCCTCAGTATACACACAGGAGAACAGGATTGTAAGACCTGACCTAGCAACCAACAGATGACTAGTGGGAGAGGTGTAGAGACACAGGAGATGACCACCAGTGATGGCATGATGCCATTTCTGGGAAGACCTGGAAATAACATCACACCTCTCTAGACACTGCCAGAAATTCTGTGGTTTTACCATAGAGTTTCCAGCCATTCCTAGAGAGGAATTGCTTCCAGTTTTTCCCTGGAAGTGCCATCACATCATTGCCAACAGCAGTACTCCCAACAGCCACTGGAGTGCCGGCAAGCAATGCCCACTGGGGACGGGAGCTCTCCTGCCCCAGGGGGCATATGGCAACCCTGCTCTGTGGCACTGCAATCCTGAGACTCCTACTGGTAGCAGTAGGTTTAATGATACAGCTAGTTACCCTTCAAAAAATGGAACAGATTTAATCTAGCTAATTCCATACAAGCTCCTGGCACACTTGCTGATAGTTGCCATTCTGTCACTACGAAATGGAGCTAGATTTGAGCTGATACGTTTGAATGTGTTCTATTTTTTCTTTTCTTTTTTTAAGAGTGAAAGGTACTGATTAACTCGACAGATTTTTAGCTATTAGAGCCTGCCCTAGCAATTATGTGGCAAATTAGAAAAGCCACAAAGGTCTGCCATGTGAATAGCTGGGGTTTGAAGCTATTCCTCAAAATTGTCTGTAAGTAGCATAGGCTTTCCCAGTGACTAATTGAATAAAAACTGTGCTCGTAAGCCTCTAAGTATAGCATTCCGCAAATATTTTTTCATTAATTTCTGGTAATGGCTAAGGAGTACCAATGTTCAGAAAAGACCAGATGCTTACAGAGTTAAATGTCACTTTGTTCGCAAAAAAAGCTAGCAACGTATGACAGGACGGCTGTGGGTCAAACACACTCAACAACTTGGCAGCCGGTATGGTTAGAGGTCAGACTAGGATCTGGCCCACCTAGCTTCAAACCCGCATTGTGCCAGGAAGATCGCTGGGTGACCCTGGGCCAGTCACTCTCTCCGTCTAACTCACAGGGTCGTAAAAAGGGTAAAATGGAGATAGGGAGATCGAATCTGAGTTCCTTGAAGGAAGGGCAGGATAAAAATATACTCAGTAAATAGAATGTGAAGCATGTTTATGTGAACTCATTGAAGGCATGCCAAAGGAATTTCAGGATAAATACTGTTTGAGATGGGGCAGCTGGAGGAAATATAAAAATGATATCCTAAAATTAATTGTCCCTAATTTTAAAAAAAGGGATGTGGAATGGTATAGTATAGCCTGATCTTGTCAGACCTCAGAAGCTAAGCAGGGTTGGGTACTTGGATGGGAGACCACCAAGGAAGACTTTGCAGAGGAAGGCAATGGCAAACCACCTCTGCTCCTCACTTGCCTTGACAAATTTATGTGGTTGCCATAAATCAGCCATGACTTGACAACACTTTACACACACAAACACACAATCTAAAGACATGTTCAAAGATTAGGGGGAGGGGTTGAAGATACAATTGTTTGCAGTGTCATAAAGGCCAACCATGTGTCCAAGAAACCTGAACAGTCCATTGACATAAAGGCATTGTGGTAGGTGCATAAATAATAATAATTTTGGATAATTATTATTTATTTTCTCCCCTTTTCCCAGTGTATTTGCTTAGGTGAAATTACATGGACCTCAGATTGCACATTTGTGGAAGGGTTCCTGTTGTTGTTGTTGGGTTTTTTTTTAAGGGGAGTTAGGTGCATCTTTACTTTCACTTAAACTAAATTCAAGATAATTTTGGTGGGTTATGCTCAGGTGAACCATCTGCCGGAATCTCAAATGAAATTAGAAGAATTTTAATAAGATTAACGGAATTTCTCTCTGAAGGGATTTGCGCTTTTTTGTTTTTTATTTCTTTCATTCCTTTCATCATTATCGTTTTGAAATCTGTATTTTAGGGAAACTTTTTTTTTTTTGAAGATGTGATTCATGGCTCAGAACCTGCAGATCTGAAGGACTTACCTCTCTTGGTATGAATCTGGATGCCATCTTAGATCTGCCTAGTGTGGCTTCCTCCCTTTCCACTTGCCCATCCTCTGTCAGAAATTGGGCTTTGTTCTTATCTTTGGAATGGCTTCCCTGAGGCCTTGCAGCAAGTTCCAACGCTGTTTTCTTTTAAGAGAGCTTGTAAGACTTTTATTTTTCAAACAGTATTCCACTGAGGTTGAAGGCAATGAAGGTTCTTTTCCCCTTGTAGTAAGGGCTCTTGTTTCTATATGATGACATTGTTCTAGAGAGGTAGGCTTGCCAATTTCCAGGTGGGGAATTACAACTGATCTCCAAATTACACAGATCAGACTTCCTGGAGAAAATGGCAGCACTGGAAGAGAGACTCTGTGGTATGATACCCTGCTGAGGTCCATCCCCAAATCTCAATGAATTCTCCTACCCAGGACGGGCAACCCTTGTAGCAAGTGAACAGTGCTGTGCTGGGATTTTGTGAGTCACCTTTACATTGGTTAAGGGACAATTCTTACATACCTGATTATTTCTCACAGTTGCCTTTTGTCCATAGGGGAAAGACTGGGTATACATCTTTATACACAGGGCTTTTTTGTAGAAAAAGCCCAGCAGGAACTCATTAGAATAATAGACCACAGCCAACAGGAGAAACTCATTAGCCTATTAGGCCACACCCCTGACAGCACAGCTCATTAGCATATTAGGCCACACCCCCATGTTACCAGAAGTGTGGTTATCCAGCTACACCCTCCTTTTGCTTCTTATTCTGTTTACCTTGTTTGTTGTCAAAACCCAGGGCCTTTTTTTTAGCAGGAACTCCTTTGCATGTTAGGCCACACACCCCTAATGTAGCAAATCCTAATAAGTTTCTGCTGTTGGGTGTGGCCTATTATGCTAATGAGTTCCTGCTGGGTGTGGCCAACTCCGGAGCCAGCCGGAACTCCATTCCTGTGCGTTCCTGCCCAAAAATAGCCCTGTTTATACATTATAAATAAATAAACCAAATGCAACTCCATGTAGATATTTGCTACATGGAAAGGGGCAAGTGATTTTATTCCTTGTTGCCATTCTGTGAAGGTTAAGCAGTCTAGGGGATCGTTTTTTGGATCTGAAGATGAGGTAACCTCTCGCAGTCACCAAAAACCCAGTTGCTTGGAATACACATTTATACCAGCTTTTCCATTCCATCCTTATCAAACACAACATTTCCATAATTATTAAAAATGGAGATAAGTGGACGACAAATAAAAACAATGTATCATCTTTGTATTTGGTGAAATATAGAGAAACAGAGGTTAGGAAACATGCAAGAAAGTGTACAGAGAGACTGTTTCAAAAGCATGTTAGTTATTATGGACAAAATTCAGTCAAAAGTGGGATGCAACATATCGAGAGTTCGTTTCAAGGAAACAAAAGCAAAACACCCTCTCTTTTTAAAACACTGTTATCGTAGAACTTAACAACATTCTTTCTTTTTTTTAAGAAAAAATAAAATATGTAACAACAAGCAAGAAGACAAAACACATCAAAAATGGGAATTAAAAAGCAAATCTTCAAAAGAAGACAAGAAGTCAAAAAAAAAAGAGGGGGAGAAAAAAGATTTTTCAAGGGGTCCTTGTCATGCAAATCAGTTTGGCGGGAAAAAAATACCTTCATCCTCCGCACCTTCATTATCACCTAAATCATCTGTCTGTTTCTTTGTTAGGGGACCTAGGATTGAGAACGGAGAAAATGGAGGAAAAAGACAATTCAAGAATATACAAGACTGAGGAAAAATACAGTCAATATTAAACTTCCAAGGATGTTTTCAAGAAAAACACTTTTTTTTTGGGGGGGGTGAAGCATGAGTATTTATCTTTGTTCTTGAAAAAGGATTTTTTTTCCAGCAAAATGTACCCTTAGGGTTATGATTTCTTTTTCTTTACAAGCATCTAGCATAAAAGGCAAATCAACATCCTACACATTACATGAAGAATTCAAGCACTAGCTTCTATATTGCTTTTAAAAAACCTATACACATCATATAAAAAATCACTAAAGAGGACTTCAATGTGCTTAGTCTAGTAGCTCATTTTCTAAAATTTAAAGTAATAATTAAAAAAAAGTTTAGATTTTCATTTTGCTAAAGGATTTTTTTCTGATATTTTAAAAGAATCAGCCTTTTAATATCAGTTTCCTCACATGGGAAGACACTGTGAAATTAAAAACAAAAAAACAACCCTGACTTTTGCTAACCCATCCACATTAGCTAATGCTTGCCAATGGGCTGGATTTTGATTGGTTCATCCATTAGTTCATAATTTAAATACAGCCCTGAAGAGAAGACTCCTTTGAAGCATTTGACTACCTGCTGACATACATGTTAAAAAAAAAATAATAAGACGTTCCAAAATGGGATTAACACCCAGATATCAGAAGGGCTGTTTTCACAGAGTTGATTACACTCTCAGCAAGCAGAGACATTATCATACAATCAGTTCGTAAGACTTAATATCATTCCGTGCCCAGGATAGTTACCATTAACATGTGTTAGGAGATTAATTGTTCTTTACGGGAAGAAAATGGCTACGTCTGTCTCAAGCACATAGCACAGTCAGTAATTCTTAAAAAAAATACTGCAGAAGGAAAGTCAAAAGCCATCATCAAACCGCTTCTATATGCCATGTATTCTTCACACTTTAAAGCATAAACAAAAACCACTGAAACTCTGCATTGCATTTCTTTTCTCTTCCCCAGAACTAGCACATTTCCATGACACTCTGTTATCCACATGTGATACACACACACATCCTCCCCCTACTGAAATCAGTACAACCATGGAACTTTAAAGGGTTTTTTTTTTTTTAAGGCAGCCAAACACAGAGTTGAAAAGCACAAATGAAAGTTTGTCATGCATAAAGTAACAGAAACAGGAAACAGGGTTGGGGAAGATGAAAGTGCATGTCAGTACCTAGAGGATGGGTAGGCAAGAACCATGGTTAGTTCACAGCAGTGTTGCAACATTTGTATTTAAAAGCTCTACTTCCTTAGTGTGTGACTGTACACCAGTAAGCCAATATGAGATCTTAAATAAGGGGGAAAGAATACTACCTTTCCGAACAGTGAGCTATCCAGAAGTCGGCGTACTAGCCTTACAACAGGCATTTAAGACGTGTAACCAATCCACACACAAAAATGCAAATAAATTACCTTCAAGTCTCCTGGAGTCTCAAAGCTGAGAATATGGCAGAGACCAATGGTCCTCTCTGCTCATCATGGTAGCTCATAACAGATCTGTTCTTTGCTGCACTTTAGCGCCCCTATTGGCTGGATGGTGGTATTTCAGCTAGCAGCAAATTAAAAACAACAACACAGAAGTCTACTTGACCTTGGCTTGATTCCTTGGTCTGAGCTCCCTTCAAACTGCCAATCCCCTCTTACCTGCTTGACTATTCGCCTCCTTTCCAGTTGAATTACCAGCCTGCTTCCAGATCATCAGCCCTGATTATACACTACAATGAATCCAGCAGGAGCATTGTTTCCAGACCAATCTTAAACAGATTACACACTCACACATTACATATCATGTACTAACATCAACAATCACTAGTTGTTGTTGAAACATTTTTAAAATTTGTCTTATCACTGTCAATTTCTAATCCATCCTACTTGTTTTACATTCGAGGCAGGTCAAATTCAAGAAGCACCAAAGGAAAAAGATGTTCAAAATTGAACATATACCAGAAAGCTAAAGTACTAAGAAATGGAACTATAGTACTTCGCATGAGCCAACCTCACACTGAATCAGACCATCAAGGTCAAAATTGTCTACTCTGTTGAGCAGTGGCTCTCCAGAGTCTCAGGCAGATGTCTTTTTGTAGAGGTCTTTCACATCACCTATTATGTGAGGTTTTTAACTGGAGATGCCAGGGATTGAACCTGGGACCTTCTGTATATGAAGCCACTGAGCCACAGCCCCCCACCCCAACTTCCAATAAAGATGCTTATGCTCCAACTGTGCCAGATCATTGGCCAAAAGGAAGCTGCAGAAGGGGCGGGGGGCTGGATAACTGTACCGCAGAGCAAGAAAAGGGCAGTTTTCTTTTTTTATACATGAGAGATCCAGCCATATAACCCTCCTGTTGTGAGGATACTGCATTTCCCAGTGCTCAGACTATAGCATGTTGCTTCAGGGTCCCATGGGACCTCTCATAGTTCTGCAGGGCCGTGAAAACGGAGCTTTTCCGGCAGGCATTCCGGTAGGAGCTGCCCTGATTAGCTAGGCCCTGAGCCAATGTATGTCTAGCTGAAGCTATTTAAAGTGGTTGCACCGCTGAATGAGTTTAAATGGACTTTATTATATTATGCCGCCATCAATATAGCAGTGTTTTTAAATTGTTTATTATGTATTGTTATACTAAAATGTATATTGTTTTATTTTTTTTATGTAAGCCGCCCTGAGCCTGCCTTGGCGGGGAGGGCGGGGTAAAAGTTAAATAAATAAATAAATAAATAAAATATATGGTCCTCCCTCCACCCCTCAAAAGTTTACTTGCCATTTTTGCTATTTGTAGAGCTTCTGTTCTTTTCACAGCTGCATGACTACGGGGGAGGGCGGGATATAAATTTAATAATAAATAAAATAAATAAAATCTCATAGGTAAAGTTTTTCCCTCTCTGTATTTTCATTCCAGCCCAATCTCATCAGATCTAAGAAGTTAAGCAGGGTCAGTCCGGGTTAGTACTTGGATGGGAAACCACCAAGAAAGTCCAGGATAGATACACAGAGGCAGGCAATAGGAATCTGCCTTTGAACATCTCTTGCTTTGAAACTCTATGGGGGTTGCCATAAATTGGCTGAAACTTGATAGCACCAAAAAACCCAAACAAACTAAGAAAGTCTGTACTAGTTGAATTTATGCCCTTTCTATAGCTGCTCGAGGAGTCGGGGGGGGGAATACACACTTGTATAGGTTGTTATAAGAGGACACCAATAAAATAAGGGGAAATATGCTTGGTTCAGTGTGGTCAGTACAACACTGTTGGAAATGCTACAGGCTACATCCAGATAGTCTATGCTCATGGGGGTGCCACAAAGTTGGGGGTGGGGGGTGGAAACAAACTGCTGATGTCGTTCATGATGTGACAGGTTACAACTTCCTGTTAGACTCTTTGGTCATACTTCTGGGATAAGGGCAGGATGCTGTTAATAACAGGACAAGAAATGAATAATCAGTATATGCTTCTTACCACTGGAGTAGAGCTAGGATCTAAATGTACATCAAACAGTTGAAATACGGCTTGTAAAACCAGGGAATAGTCAGTGCACTGGTACATACAACTAAATATTAGGGAGATAAAAGAAATAATAGCCTCCATGAAAAATGAATTCAGTTGTGTTTTTTCTTCTTTTTAAAAAATTCCTGGAACTGGCATTGGCTGAATGCACCTCCCAGCTTTCTTTATAGGATCGTCAATTGCCTGGAGGGAAAAAAATGTCAAGTCCCTTTAATAAAGGCTTAATAGGATGTTCTTTACCAAGTGATGTTATCTACCTCTGTATCAATGAAAAGCTTTTATGTCCATTTCTAAATATTAAAGGGACTGGACATTTGCCTTCAGATCTTTGGGCAACCCCGTTTCTCATTTTTTTTAAAGGAGTTTTGAGGAAACTTAAAGACGAACATTACAATCCCATGAATAACTTTCCTGGGAATAAAGCCCACTCCATAGAGATCAGCAGGACTCCATGTACATCTCCTTGGGACTGAAGCGTATGTTTTCATAAACTACGGCTAAGGTTGCCAACTCCATGTTGGGAAATTTCTAGAGGTTTGTGGGGCAGAGTCCGGGGAGGGAAGGAAGCTCAGCAGGGTACAATGCCATGGGTTCCACCCTCCAGAGCAGCTATTTTACCCAGAGGAACTGATCTGCGTCATCTAGAGACCAGCTGTAATGCCATGAAGTCTCCAGGCCCCACCTGGATGTTGGCAACCCTGCTACGGTTAAGTGCGCGGACTCTAATCTGGGAGAACTGGGTTTGATTCCCCACTCCTCCACTTGCACCTGGCTGGATTGCCTTGGGCAACCCATAGTTCTGGCAGTTTCTGTCAAGAGCTCTCTCAGCCCCACCTACCTCACAGGGTGTCTGTTGTGGGGAGGGGAAGGGAAAAAGAGTTTGTAAGCCGCTCTGAGACACCTTTGGGTAGTGAAGGGTGGAATATAAATCCAATCTCTTCTTCTTCTTCTTTACCCGAGTGGATTCTACTAGTCTTTGAATTCTATAAGTCTTTAGAGAGTAACACAAGGCTCCTTTATCAAATCTGCTCAGCAACAATTCCATGGAACGTAGCCCATGCACTGAACTTTACTCACTGGTCATGCTAATCCTTTTCAAAAGAAAAGTAGGAAGTGGTTGTGCCAGCCGCTCCCCTCCAAAGGGATCTTCTGCAATTTCTTACAATGTAAATACTATATTATGCACCAATATACTAAAAAAATGGGTTAGATAATAAATAAAACAAAGACTTTGAGACTCCATAGACCCAGAAGTTATATATTTTTTTCCCAAGTGACCCTGCAGGGTCCCAATCTTCCATCATGGTATACTCATTACTCTCATTAGTGCTAATTGGAAGCTAGAACTACATGTCATGGATTGCCACAGTGCATGCCGCCTCTCGGCAAGACAATGGATAGCCTTGTTACAGAGACAAGAGGACCACTGTATA